TATATTGACGACATGTCTGTTTTCTCTGCTTACTAGCATTATGGATGCAGTGTCCGTATCACTGCAATTCGACAATCACCAGTTTGCTTCTCAGCCTTCGTGATCCCCGATCCAATCCCAATCCAATCCTATTGGGTGTCTGCAAGACGGCGCTCTTTTGACTGACAGGCGGCAAAACCATGGTGAGTACATACTATCTTTAGGCCCTCCCATCGTGGCTTCTGACGCCGGGGCAGAGTGATGTATCGCTTCTCGGTCACGAGGACCTGTATCTGGTCTCTGGTTCTCAGATAGGACCAGTCTGCACTGCTTGGGCAACTGTACCATCGCACTCCGCGATAGTTTCTACACGGGCGTCTTTCGAATATCAAAAATCTTACACGGCGAGGCAGTACAAAGGAGACCACAGTGTTTCATTCGTTTCCTTGGAATCATTGACGATCACGAGCTTCCACGTATGTTACCATCAGTGGAGGCAGTTTTCGAACCCCGTGGTTTGTTCCATTGCTAATGGTTGAGGGCGAATGCGACTGGGCGCACAGCTAACCCGGTTGAATATCCTCCCGTTTGGCGCCGAGAGATCCAGGTTCGTCGAAATTTCTTGAGGTGCATCACGACGATGCCTTCGCACTGTCGCGCAGCGTCGTCAACTCCCTACTCGTAAACCGACGAGGTGACCGGGCGACAAATGTGACTACTTCTATCACTGACAAGAAACGGGATGGCCGCTAGGGATGGTGCACACGCAATCTCAACAACATGCCTTCCACGATATTCAGCTCGCGGAAATATCTCATGCAAGCTACGCCCTATCTACCGACATGGGAAGCTTTTTTAGCAATAAAAACTGGTGACCCTCAAAGTCTTCCGGTGCCCGAAGGTCTTTCACCCGCTTGTCCTCGACGATTTCAAAACCTGCTTCCACCGCCCACTTACGGTATTCTTCGATTCCCGCCTGCTCCCACCACATTTTAACGCTCTCGTCGCTGCCCAGCCAACCACCCAGCTCAAATGTTTGCGCTGAGATGCCCACTATCACCATGCAGAATCCGCCCTCCTTCAGCCACTCCCCGATCTGCCGTATCAACATGGTCTGCTCACTGACCGGGAGGTGGATCAGAACGTAGAGGGCCACGACAGCGTCAAATTGTCCATTGGTGCTGAACAGGGCGTTGGTTTCAGGCGATTCTGAAATCGGCTCTCCTTTCGCAAGGGCTGCAATATCCCCTTGCACGAATGTCCCGCCAGGTACCAGCTTCTTCGCACGGTCGATCTGTACCGCGCTGATGTCGACTCCTAAGACGGTATGCCCGGCGAGTGCGAGATCGCGAGCGACAGGGATGCCGCAACCGCATCCCAGGTCAAGCACACGTGCGGGTGATTCTGAGAGGATTTCGAGGAGCTGCGTTGCCCACGCTTCATGGTGCGGCGCTACGTGGTCATCTCGGCGATACAGGAACGACAATGCGTCGTAGCCAGTGCGTACGGTTTCTTTGGGGTCCATGGTACAGGTCCTTAGCTCGTTAAGTACAGTGCCCACGGCGTATGGGTGGTAGACGCAGAGGAATGGGTAGGGTACTGACTTTGCGTCATTCCCACAGAAGCCTGCTTTTGGCCGAATGGGGGCCGTTATCGGTCTCGAGCCGGCGAGCGCTTTCGTCCCGGCTTGCCAGTAGGCATTAAGCTCGGAGCGTTTTCTCCGTTTATAGGTATTGTCACTCTTGATGAAATCTCGCTGTCACCATTTGACTCACACAGTCAGTCCTAGAGATCCCCTCAAAGTCCACTGGCTGTACTCCCAGGCTCCTCGCTTACATCGATGTTAGTCGTCAGAGTGACTATACAAGTTAACCATGAGCTCGTCCTCCCACCAGCTTCCACAGTTCGCGATGTGAAGACCGCAGTATCTAAGCTTTACCCTGCTCTCGAAGGCTTCACGGTTCTGTTCAGAGATAAGGGCGACCGGGAAGCAGATGATAGCATGAAGATTGTAGATATTGAAGATGTATGCGATCACCTTCTGGGGGTCGATCAAAAAGCTCACGGCTATCCCGCAGTCGGCTCCCGTCGCTGATCGCCCATGGTCACCCCCCGCGTCCCCGATAGAGATCAGACCGACAGCGCTTGACAGCGCTAATCGAAGCCCTTCGCCAGCCTTTCGCTTGCCCAGCTGCCGGCTCGGTAGCAGCGCGATTTCACCCTCGGCGGGGAGCAGTGAGCAGCTGCAATCGGAACCGCTGGGGTTTGCTGAAGACACCCCGAAAACCATGGGCGAGTCTTGGGCGCATCTCGGAGTCGGCGATTTTACTTCAGAGATGAGGTCGTCTTCGAGGGTGCGTGGAGATGCTTGATGGCTGTGTGTTCAGTGCTACACTTACTTGTGTGGCATCAGGGGGCGGTGGTGAATGCCGGCGACGAGGAAGGCGATAAGGCGTCTGTGATGGCGTCCCTGGGAGCAGGAGTAGTAGCCAACCCCCCGACTATAGTGGCAATTCCCTCGGAACCATCGCTCCCCGACAGCTTCAGTCCACTCACGGACTTTGTGGAACGTGGTCGCAGCAGAGCAATATCACCAGACTATCTACGGAACAACGACAGTCCAAGGATGTCTGACCATCCAGGCGTTGTTCGCGTCCTCCGATCCCCCAGCCCTTTCGACAATGCGAATCCCTACAGGCGCCGACAATACTCCCCAGAGGGTGGATTTTGTCACTATCGCTGGGGCCGGTTATCCTCGCCTGATAGCAATCGGCTTAGCCCCAGTCTGCACTCACGATCGAGTTCGCCATTTGACTACGACGCGGCCCCATATCCGTGGTATGGCTATCGCGGATACCACCAACGATCTTTTTCTCCTGACTATGGTACATCCCGTCGCCTGGGTTATTTGCCGTCACCTGAAGCCAGTTCGGTTGTACAGCAGGGGAGTAGGGATTGCATGCTGCGTGGGTGTCCGTGTCCTTGCCATGACGCTGATGACCCGACGCGCGCCGTTGGACCTGTCCACCGTCTCCCCTCTCCATCTGCCGGGTTTCATCGCAGACGCCGCGACTCGCCACTGGACGTCATCAAAGTATATGGCAGCTGGGACTCAGTGCCGGGTGTAGCGAGATTAGAGAGCGGCAGCCCCGACCTGGAGTGGAGGCACCGCCCAGCCCACCATCGAAAATATGGGAACAGCCCATCCCGTCGTCAGAGACGTCGACGTCTTTCGTACTCATTAGAGGGTCGAAATGGGGAACGTGAATTCGGCGCACATCTATATTCGCCGGCGCATTTTGGCGGACGACCGATCGTGACTGTATTAGATGTTACACCTGGGTGGGACGGTGTACCTGCAGACGGCGAGGCACCTTGAGACAGACCTACCATGCTGCGGTTGCCATTGAGGGGGATGTAATAGATTTGTTATCGTAGGATGCGTGGAGGAATCAGCACAGATAATTTAGCAATACAACAACAACGTGGACAAGAAAGTCACAAGAAAGCAAAGCACATCAGTCAACGCGACTCCCAGTCCTCTAACTTTGCTGAAGTCTTTTTACCAAACGAGTCCCGCTCTCCGAAGGGCGACGAGGCGTAGTGCGGCACCCACCGGGTCCGTGGCGGGGTCTATGAACATGCTTCCGCAGGTCCAGTCCCAGAGCACAGGAGGGCAATAATTGACATCCATAGGGGGGTTCGAGTCCGGGACCGACTCGATGGCGACGGGTCCGCTCTTGTCCACAACAGTAGAAGTGTGGAAAGGTACCACCAAGGTGCTGAGGTCGGCATCTACGGTCACGGAAGTTTCGTAGTGATCGACGTTCGAAGAGTTTTCGTCCGCGTCGGCAGAAGAGTAGTATCCCGAGTCAGGTGAAGAAAGATTTACAGGCGTCTCACTCGATGTGCCCACAAGTGGCTGTCTTTCGCTCGGTTGTGCGTTTGTACTATAAGGCGTGGATGCCTGGATAGGAGCACGTATAGTGCGAGAAGCACCGGGCTTGTAGGCCTTTGACCCCGTAACCATGTTGGGGATACGGTCCTGGGAGTGCGGAACGTATGTATTTGCAAGCGGCGCATAGTTACCTGTTTGAGGGGGCGAGCTGGAGCCACCCGCGTCTGCTCGAAATCTGGTCCTGCGGATATACTTGTTGAAATTCGGTGCGCCGGGAATGGTGTTGTCGGGCTCGCGGTTTCGGGGGGTGTATGCTTTCGCAGTCGATGTGTATTTTGCGCGTTTCCGAGTATCGGTGTGGGCGTTCGTTGGTGTGACTTCCGATGCGTATTCCACTGAAGTGAATGGACCGCGCTTGAGCAGGCTAGCGGCAGGCGCGGATGGTGCGCTCTGGTCGGCGGCATCGGATAAGAAGGCGTCTATTTCGAGGGTGTATGCGTCGAAATCCGGGGTATATGCGCCCGACTTTTGGTTAGAGCTGGAAAAACGTGCATGATTATCTGCATTGCGACTACGCTTGGAGTGGACCGGTGAAGGAAAAGGCGACGGTGATGAAGGCGGCGAGCTTGGCGGGAGTGGACCCGAAGCGGCATCAAACGAAACCACGGAGTCCGGGAGAGGTTCAACCTTCGTTCCGAGGACTCGTGAACGTTTTGCGCGCGTGTTGTTCATGGGGACAGACGAGACGTCGACAGGTTCTGACTTGACAGCTACTGCGCCAGTCTTGGATCGCGCTCCACTACGCTGACGTGTGCTGCGTTGTCGGACCAACCAGGTGTGTATCCATTGCTTGGAGCTGTAAACGCGCAACTGGATTAGATCCACGAAGCCCGAGTCGAGTGAGAACGTACAGCCCAGTCTGCATTTCTAGCGCCTCGAGCTCTTTATTTGAGACATCCTTAGCAGCTTTATTAAGGCCCTTCGCCGCGAGGACTGCAGCGAGAACTGCAAGCTGAGATTCCGTCGCGAATACACGTTTGGTCATGATGGGCGGGAACAAAAGGCGCGTCGTCTCAATTAGGAATCACAGGCTCATGACGCGCGCGAAAAGAAGCTTCTTCAAGCCCGCCTAGCTCAATCGGATAGAGCGTCAGACTTTTACGGCGGGCTGACCAATCAGTTGGTTACGTAATCACAATCTGAAGGCTGCGAGTTCGACCCTCGCGGTGGGCTAAAGTTTTTGTATATTTCGACACCATGGCGACTATACTTTTGCTTGAAGTGAGCTTTTTTATTTATTTATTTATCAATTATTTTTTGGGAAGGAAGAGGCGCCCATCGGAGACGATGTCCTGCCTCCGAAGTTCGATCGACGCGTTTTTTTCGCACGGGACTGACGCGTTATTTGGTCATATTTTGGCTGTGTTCGAGTGTCATATTGAGTGATATTTCTATGCTGGATTGGTTCTGCTTTGTGTCTGCCAGTCGAGTCCAAGTCAAGCTCGAGGCTGGCTCACGACGCTTTGTTTCCCTTTGTTCTTCTCCCTTTCTCTCGCTCGGTCGCCGTGTACTAGTATTCGAGATCTCACCGCCATACACGAACAGCAGCACTATTGACATAACATCACCCTAACAGTCGCAATGGACTCTCCACAGGAAGCGACAGACGTATTCTCTCTGTCCGACCATCTCCTCGCAGAAAGGCTCACATTTGTGAAGGAAGTGCGTAGCAGAACCTCTCTCAGTTGTGGTCTTGACCCACTCATATCCTCCTGCGGCGTAGATCGGCTTTGGTAATTGGGGCAGTGTATGGCTCTGCCGCCCCAAATCTGCATCATCTTCGCAAGACAAGCATCGCGACCTAGAGGTAGCAGTAAAACTCGTTCATAGATCCAAGACCTCGACGACCGCCGCACGGGTACGCTCACTGTACGTCCACTCCCTACACCCTTCGCACGTTCGCACCTAACCTGATACTCGCTAGATGGAATGAAATGAAGATAGTTCGGTCCTTCAAGCACGACCCACACCCGTCTATCATCCCGTTCCACTCATTCATCATTACTCCCTCTTATGCGCTTATTACAATGTACGTCCTTGTATCTCCTACACGTGTGATCGGACTCTTGATGCGATCAACACGTGTAGGGCCTACCTTCCGACGCTTGTACCGGTGGAAGTCTCAGAGCCCAGAGCCAAAGTATGGTTCCGCTCTCTCCTTTCGGGCGTCCAATTCCTGCACGAACGCGGCGTCGTACATAACGATATCAAGTGTGTCCCTTGGTGTAGTGGAAGTGATTACCTCGCTAACTGAATTTGCGTTGGCGCTAGGCCAGCGAATATCCTCCTCTCGCAGGAAAGCATACCTGTGCTCGTGGATTTTGGCTTCGCGGAGAAATACGACCTGCGGTCCTCGAAGGCATTCCACAGTAACCTCACCTATGGCACCCCGGAGGTCGGTTCGTTTGCCTTACTATTGCCGACAAACTGACCCTTTTCGGATAGTACCTCTCTCCCGAACGCGCTCGCGGTCTCCCGCACGACACGCGTAAATCAGACGTATGGTCTCTCGGCGTGACCTTTTTCGAGATCCTTGTCGGGCGCACTCCCTTTGAGTACGAGGAGGGCGAGCAGTTCGCCAGCAAAGCCGATTTAGAGAAATATTGGGCACGCACCGTAAGCATTTGGCACCTGGCTTCTTCATTCTAGCCGAGGCGTTGAACCCCTTCGTAGATGCGCGGTAAATGGGTCGGCGAGTACACTATCCCGAAACCCGCCGAACGCCTCTTGAAGCGCATGATTGTACCGAACGCCGATCTGCGTTGTACTGCCGCGGAGGCAATGGCCGACCTCTACTGGGATGTTGCAGTGGAGAAGGTGCATGCGCACAGTGAGTTTTACTGATGAAACATAATCTCCAATCCTGTTACTAAATACGATATGTTCCGCAGAGAAATCAGCCAGTGTCGCCATCTCACATTCCCGCGCTGCCTCTCCTTCACTCGTCCAGAGAGATCGTGACGTGTCCATGTCGAAATTGCTTGACATCAGCCTCCCCTGGTCGAATTCACGCTCGACATCACGGTCGTCCGTATCCCGTGCCAAGGAAACGGAAGCCGAAATCTCTGAAGAGAAGGACACAGAAGAGAAAGAGAACCGCTACACACGCGCACCTTCCCGCCCCAACCACACGCGTGCGAAATCGGCCGTCGTCAATGCAGGTGCAGCCATGTTGCGAACTCCGCGGAACGCGCCAAAGAAACGTGCTGAGCTGTCCCCTGTACGCGGTTCGCCCGCGGTCGTTGCACGTGATGTCGAGGCGGAGGCAGAGCAGAAGGAGAATACTGATGCTAGTGCCCATGTGTTCTCTTTGAACTCGTTGACTTCGATTCGTCGGCCATTGGGTCCTAGACAACCTTCGGTCCGCGCGCTGGCGAAGCAGTTGGCTGAGGACGAGAAGGCGGTGCCGAGTGCTAGTCCTATCACGAGGCTGAAAGAGAACGCAAAGAAAGACATCACGAAGGCAAAGTCACAAAACATCAAGGGAAATGCGCACAAGGAGAACCCGAACGGGAAGGAGGATCGTAAACCTCGTGGGCGTGTCGGCGTATTGACTGACCTCACAGGCTTCGCGAAGAACGTGGATCTTAGTGCTCATGTCGGCGCGACGCCACGTGTGAAGAAGGAGAGGGAGAATCGGCCGCATATCAAGAGGGAGAATGTCGACAAGGAGAACGTCCAGGCGCTTCCCCAGCGCAAAGACAATGTGATGGAGGAGCGACGAGGAAAGGACAGTGTACGCGATCGTATGCGAGAGTGGGAGCGCGAGCGAGAGAGGTTGAGGGAGGTTGAGAGGTTGAGGGAGCTCGAGAGGGAAAGGGAAGAGACGGACTGCGAGACCAAAGCGAGCGACAATCTGGAACTGGAGCAGGGGAACAGTATTTTGGAAGAGGAAGGGCAAACGATCGAGGTCGCGCGCGTCGCTGTGCGTGCGTCTGCGCAGATCATGTCCTCGAGGAATGCTTCGATGCTGGATGTGTCCAGGAACGGCTCGGGAATGCTGTTGGACGCGCCATCGAAGAACGGGTCGGTCTTGGCACCCTCCAGGAGCATCTCCGTCTCTGCATCCTGTGGTGAGTTCGCTTATCACAAACGGTATAATTGTCGTTGCTTGAACACTGCCTTTTGTAGACGCCACTGGCTTGCCATCTGATGAGTCCACTCGGGTCGCAGAGTCTGGCTTCACAGGTTTGAAGCATAGCATCAAGGTGTCCATTGGTTAGTGATCTCTGCCACGAACAACTTCCAGGGCTGACTGTCAAATAGACAAGGGCGTCCGGATGTACAAGTCTTCGACGCTCGCTCAACTTACAGGTCGCACGACGCCCGGGTGGTCGACCTCTCCCGAAGCCACCGAGGATCAAGAGCGATGCGCCGACGAAGGAGCCAGGTTCAGCTGGGAGGATATACGTCATGATGGTCAGACTACCCCGTCTTCTGCACGAGAAGAAGAACTAAATACACACCCACAGGTGAACCTTCTGCAACTGTCGCGGATGACACGCTCGATCGGATGAACATGTGGATCCGAGATGTTGAGAGTAAGCCTGCAGCACTTTGACTCAAGTCTGAAACTGTACTGACTTTCTGGGTGATAAAGAGGTCGTCGAGGACTGTCGGCAAAACTTTGCCTCGAACAGCGTGACCCCCCCTGCACCCCTTCCACTCGCACCGCTATCACGTACCCCTTCCCAGCTTCACAACACATCGCGCTCCTCTCGCCTCCCTCGCCGTCTCCTCGCTGCCAATCAGATCTTCGCTGCTGATTCCGACATGACCACTCCGCTTTCCCCTGGCGGATCTGTCTTTGCAGACAATAGCGCATCCTACATCACCGCGAACGAAACTGGGGTATCGCAGCGCAGTGCACTCGCTGCCATTCCTTCAGAACCGTCTCACGATAGCCCCGCAGCCGTCCCTTCAATCAACGTCATCAGCCAAACTCCTACTCGCCGGCGTCGTGCGACGATCACCACGCAATCGCCGCAAGCAGTGGACCGAAAGACGTTCGCGGAGAATGACGACGAACCGGAGCTTGCTGCTTCGCCTTCGAAAAGAAGGGAGAAGTCCAAGTCGCAAGGAAACCTGATCCAGCATATAAGACCAGTTTCAAAGCTAGAGCTTGAGCTCTCATTAGGTGCGCCTACGCGGATATCTGCCACCAAATTACTTTGTGTTGATGGTTCTCGTGTTTGCATAGAGCCGGTATCGGCCCCCTCGCCACGCTTGTCCGCTGTCCTGGATCGAAGCCTTTTCATCGCTACCCCCGTCTCTCCTAGGTTCTCAGAAGACGACGTCGTCAGGACCCCCGAGCCGATATCCCGAGGACGATCAATCCAGTTCGACGACGATCTGACCTCTTCTCCATACCACGTTGAGCCGTATCCTGTTAGAAAATTAAATGCCGAAGAACATGTGTTGGACTCTCCGGACAGGCGTCGCGTCGAAGGAGTGTACGATCGATTCCTCATGGCTACAACGGGCGTTAAGCGCCTAGGACGAGGATACCAGTCCGACAACCTGAAGCCTGTCCACAACACGCCAACAGTGGACCACAAACCGGTGGCGTCCAACAATCGAAATTTCAAAGTCTTTAATACGGCTCGTCGTGCGATGCCGCCCCCTGTGTCCAGTGAGGACCAGTGGAGGTCATCGTCAGTTGACGAGTTCGGTTTTGTGACCTGCAGCGCAGGCGCGCCGCGCGCATCTCGGGAAGAGAGCAAGAATACTACTCTCATCCATCGCGCAATCAAAGCCATGGTACCTGGTAAAACAGTCTCTCGCCGGCTGTCACGCACATTGGCCGCCTGATTCATTACACCTTCTCCCTCATTTATCTTTTGGCATACGTCTCACTTCGTTCTAATGACCCCTTTTCCGATGCTCCCCTTCCCTCGTTTTCCATCTGTTGCTATATTGTCCGCCTCTCTTTGGAGCACGCATTTCAGCACGTCGTTCCGGTTCATCGCATCGCATTCTCTCTGCTATTATCTATTGCTATCGTCATCATTGAATACTCCGAACTCTTCATTGCCATCACGCTATTTACACGATTCATTTACGCATACTCATGTCTGCTCGTTATTTGCTCTTACGCTGTGATTGACGTCTGCTACGCTGTCGCTTTCATGACGCTTGTATTTCGCTCGTTCTGAATAAATACCCTCACTTGG